CGATATATATATATATAGACACATATATATATCTATATATGTATCTATATATATATATATCTCTCTCTCTCTCTCTCATATATATATATATAATAAAAAAAAAATATATATATATAATATATATATATATAGACACATATATATATCTATATAAATACACACACACACATACACATACACACACACACACACGCACACACACACACACGCACACACACACACACACACGCACACACACACACACACGCACACACACACACACGCACACACACACACACACGCACACACACACACACGCACACACACACACACGCACACACACACACACATTATATATATATATATTTATATATATATATATAGACACATATATATATCTATATAAATACACACACACACACATTATATATATATATTTTTTTTTTTATTATATATATATATTTATATATAGATAGATATAGATATATGCATGCATAGATACAAACATGCATGCATGTATGCATTTATGCATTCATACATACATACATACATACAACAGAAAACTGTCATTTCAACTATCTGTCAAATCACTTTGAATCTAGGCTCTTAGCACTTCAGTCATGAATTATGTAAAAGAAAGCAGTATTCTAATTTCTCTGATGAGAAAACACTTATGGGAATTTTGTTCAGATTGGAAATGGATGGCCTGGCTTACTAAATGTAAGATATCTTGAAAATGTCAACAAGAATTTATTTTGCTTCACACATAAATCTATCCAACATTGAAAGGGTAAGTGTGAAATGGTACTTGCTAATCACAGGAGGAAGCATAAGTGCTACATGATTGATGATTGACAAATTGTGCTCCCCCCCTCATTTCCTTCACAGCCTCTGTCCCCCAAAGCTGAGGCAGAAATGAGGCGAGCAAGAGCCACCTCACGCATTGAAGAGGAGGGCGACCTCCAGTACATCCTTGAGGAGATGGGAGAACGTGATGCAGAAAAAGAAGAGGACAAGGATGGGGAGAAGAAGGAAAGGGTCCATTTCCGCCCAAGGGGAAGCGTGAGTATTACAACAGGAGGCTACGAGCAGGTCCCCCAGTCTTCATCACTGTCTCTCGACACGGATCAAAGGAGTAAGGACCTCTTGACTCCACCGACAAAGGTGAGTGAAATGCATATATATATATATTTTTTTTTGCTTAAGAGGGTCTTTTGGTGGTAAGGAAGGACTTTGCATGGTTTGGCTTAGTTAACCCTACTAACAAGTGAGATTGGAACATTAATGAAGACTTTGATTTGAAAGTAATGTAAAGTTTTATGTAAAGACTCAGATTTCCTCCTAACTTTTGTTTTGATTGAAATACAAGTAAATATGAAATAAAAATGCAAAAAAAAATTTTTGTAGAGGAGTTTGCAGAACCTTATAGTCCAAAATTAATATGTGCAGAAGAAAGATGGGACAAATTATTCTGAATAACTTTACTTGTATAGCTTTTTTCCTCTGTACACATATGAATCTGAAATTCCATGACTGCTTTTGATTGCCAATTTTGGTTATTGATAATGTATATCAGGAGGTGTCTATCTCTGAACGAGTAATTGGCAAAATGTTTATGGAGTAAATAGAATGTTTTAGCTTCAACTAGAATTTATTAAGAAAGCAGTCGGTTAATGTGCTATATACTTTTATCTGTAGGTGTTTCCAGATAAATACGTTGAGTTTCCTGATGGTGTGATGCAGCCAGGAGGTAAGCGAGGCAAACCTTTTCTAATCAAATATTTCATTAATATTTTGGATTAGTCCTTGCATTTGCTGCTGGTAACAGAAATAGGATTGTTGGTGATACTGTCCCTCATCTATCTTACACAGGATATGTTATGGAAAAAACACCAGTTTGGACATTCAGGAATCCAAATTTATTAGGATATATAGTATTTGTTTATAGGAATGCAAAATTTCAAGGATAATCTCTTTTTTTTTTTTTTTTACATAATTACCAAACTGACTCTGTAATTTTTCATAGACTTATCAAACAAACTTTTACTGCAGGTGTAGACACAACTGATGGAGACATAACCATGCCCAACAAGTCTGAGCCAATACCATATCCATGAGGTAAGCAATTTGTGTGGAAAAGGCATGATTTAACTCTCCTCTAACATGGTGTGTGTGTGTTGCAGAGAGATGCCTCATATATGAAAAATGCTCTGTATAAAATTGGCTTATTCAACCTAAACAATACGAGATGATTATATGGAACTCCTAACCCAATTTATTGATTTTACTGCAAAATGTCCAGTTAAATAAACTATATTTTCTTGTTTATTTATTTCTGTTTAAATTTGGAAATGTAACTGGTAATAGAATGGATAAACTTTATGATTTTTCATTTATCTTTAAATTTCTTTCCATTAAATGTTTTTAGTATTGCATCTGTTAAAAAAATATTTCTTTTGAGGTCCCAAGTTCATTTATTTACACAAGAAAAATAGAAATCAAATTTTAAGATGATTTATAGGGCCTTTGGGAATATCTGTACAAAAGGTTTTATATAAAATGAGAGGGTAATATTTTTCCATACACATATAAAACCACATTTCCTTTACAAAAAGTTATATAAATTTTTATCCTTTAGCATCTTATCCCCATTTCAAGCTTCCATTGGTGTATGATGAGAAACTGTGCTTGTTCCATGCAATATATATTTTTCGTTCCAATTTCAGCAAAATTAAAATGTTTTTGTGCTGTCTCCCCGTCCCCCCTCCTTATCCCCAATGATTCTGTAGATGCTTTGGATTATTTAATTTTTTCGTTGTTGATTAATTTCTCCTTTACCTTTCTATAGGAATGTGTGTTACCTATCCATGTGTTACCCAGAACTCTATATTTTTCACAAATGTTTGGTATAGTACAGTATATGTAGGCTTTGTATTTGTTTATATATCTGGTATTTTTAATACTTGGTTTTATCTCTTGTATCATTTTCTTTTTCCTAATATGTATTACATAGATGTTTAGCATTTCCTCCATTTTTTTCTGATTAGATGTTAGTAAGTGTTATTTTCCTAGAAGACCAATGATTCTTCTTAGTCAACCAGACTCGCTTTGGGTAAGAATGAGATTGAAGATGCAATCAGCTGTTCATGCTAGCTTTGAAGATGATGATGATTCCCTGTAGTTAAAATCCCACTGACGTGGTGAATAAGAATGGTGTTCTTGAGAGCAGAGGGCAAGGCTGGAGGCTGAGCATGAGTAACTGTTGTTTCTCAGGTCCCATTCCGACTGTGGGCTGGTGCCTGTGGAACTGCGAAGACCCTATCCAATTTTTACGGTACTTGGAAACAGTTCTCTTTTGTCTTTTTAGTAAGGAAAGATAAACAACCATCTGCTGCTGATCCTGCTGTTGTTGTTGCTCCTGCATCGTGTTCCCCTACTTTATGGTTTGCTGTTCAATGTGTTGGCCTTTTATCTCTTTTATTTTTACTCAGATTACCCTTTTTACTTTTTTTTAGATTTTTTGTTTCATTTTTTAAAATGTGAATCCCAAATAAGGAATGTGCTTGACTTACCTTATTTTTGGGTTTGGCATGCATTCATGTATTACCAAATGTATTTTTATTTGCCTGAAAACCCAGACGTAACAAGGATATGAGAAAGGAAGCTTATTTTTTCTAATTATTTTTCTTCATCCCTGAAAGCATTCTCAGACATGCATGTCATGTTTCCTTCCCCTGCCTACACTTAGCTTTTTACTCCTTTGTCAAATAATCTGACAAAGCAGTTAACATTGCTGGATGAAATGTCTGCTTCCCCATCACCTTCACTCACAATGTTCACCTTTTTATTTTAGCTTCTTGTGTTATGTGAGAAACAAGTGTAAACAGAAAGTGCCCATGATAGGTTGTAGTAGAATGACAAAACCCTTTGCACAATATGATGTTTGTGTGATCTCACAGTATAAGGAAACTGCAGAGAAAATAGCTAGAACTTTGATGTTCGTAGTAGATGTGATACATGTCACAAACAATTTTTTTTTTTTTTCTTCCTGTGGAGAATAATTATTTGATCAGTTACTTAAATGAAAAATTGATTCATAAGACTAAAGGTTATAGTAAATTGAATTTAGATGCAAAGGTGATAAGATATTGGCCTTGTATTTTTTAACATGTATGTGTGTGTTTATGGGTTATATTTTTTACTTGTGGATAAGTTTCAAGAAAATGACAAGTGAAGAAAAAGATAGTCAATATAGTTTCAATTTCAAATCTATCTATGTTTTTTTTGTCTTACCTCGTACATGGTACAATCTTCAGTCCTGTCATTAATATCTTTATCTTATTTTCTCCTCACCCTCCTTATCATTGCTTTTATATCTTCATTTTTATTTTTATTTTTCTTATGCTCAAAGCCAAAGCTATTTCATAACTTCAATAATAATAATGCAAACAGTCAGTCACAAGTTGCCAGCAGTCATTTACTGCTGATAGTTATAGTTCTGTCAACTTTACTTCTTTACAGTTCGGACTTAATTCTATTTTAAGATTTAAAGTCCTCTAAACAGATTGAATTATTGTCATTTTGATTTTTTGTTTTGACAGGTTATATGTCTTCATTTATCACTGCCTCATTTTTCTTCTTAATCTTAATCTGTTTTTTTACAATAGATATTTTTAATTTTTCCTATATCTCTTACTTCCTAATACTCCCAGAAACTCTTTTGAAATATAAACTTTTTGTAACCTATTTGTTAACTCCTCATGTTCTTCCTGTTATTTCCTTTCTTTGTTTCTATTCCAAAGGTCATCTTGATCATGGCTTGATAGGATTCATTCCTTTTCATATTCACATATCTATATCTTTCCATGTTAGGATGACTAAAGGGATTATTGATGTATAAGGTACTCGTCTTTTTTATTCCCAAGAATAGTCAAAACATTGGAAGTAAATGATATATTTTTCTATCTCCTTTTTCTTATAAGCAGAGAAAATCTGAAATATTTAGAAATATTGAAAAATGCACAGACAGCTTTTACATGTTAGGCCCCAAATTTGTCAGTTAGTGGAGGAAATCAGAAAGATGAAATGACATAGAAAAGATATTGAAAGAGTCTGTGTTTGTCCTTTGAATCTGTAAAGTGAGGCTGCATGCAATGTACACACTGCATTAAATGGATTAATGACTGCCATGTGTAAAAACAATTGAGAAATAAGCCTGCTATTTGGACATTCTAATTTGCTTGTTAAAGAAAATGAAAAACGACATACATATATATGTATCTTTCTTTGTGTAAATATTTGTTTCTACATTGTTTCAGTTTATCAGTCTGTCTATGTAGGTGGGTAGATTGATACTGACATATATGAAGAAATACTTATAACATTTTTATTTGACATAAGAGAATAATTCACTTCATTTGCTCAAGTAGCATTATCAGTGCTATTCCTTGACAATATTTTACATTCCAGGACACATAAACCATAAGATCAGGATGAAAAGAAGACAGTTCTTTTTAACTTCCCTAACCATTTTTTAAATTTTTTGCTAATCAAACATCAACATTTTCAGATCTCTCTCGGATGGTGCGGCCTCATACAAGCAATCTCCAGCCACCGACACTTCTCTTACAAGACCGCGATCCTTAGAGACGGAAAATAACCTCAATCCTGACAATACTTCTAAGCCAGAAAAGGGTATTCGCCTCTTCGATGTTTTGGCTTTCTGTTTATGATTATTTTTTAATTTAGTTAACTTGTTGCTTTTGTGGTGATTATTATTTTTACCATTATTATTGTTATTATCATTATTTTTATTATTATTAATATTATTATCATCATTTTTTGTTGTTCTTCTTATTATTATTGTTATTGTTATTGTTAATGTTATTATTATTATTAATGTTATCATTATTACTATTATTATTATTTTTTTTTTATTATTATTATCTTTATTATTTATTATTGTTATTATTGTTATCATTATTATTATTATCATTATTATTATTATTATTATTATTATTATTATTATATTTTATTATTGTTGTTGTTGTTGTTGTATCATTGTTTTAATTTTTTTGTGTTGTTTAATTGTTGAGATCCGTATGGTTGCAGCTTTACTTACTTTTTAACTTTATTAATTTTGGCATCTTCGGCTGTACCAGTGGCTCAGTGTTCTTAATTAAATGATACTGTAATGAATTAAATGAGAGTGAATTCACAGCATTAATGAATTATATTTTTCATATGAAATGTGTACCCTTATACTACACTAACAGATTATTTCTAGAGGCTTCATCTTATGATGAAAAATAGAATTGATTGTTTTATTTTCAGCATCTCAAATAAATGTTTTGATTTATATTGGCAGTTAGCCACTAGAGGGAAGATAAACAAGTTGATATTTGTTTGTTTTTTAAATCACAAAATTTTGCAATGTTCATATAAAAATCTTTTCCACCTCCTTCTCAAATTTAATCAGTATAGGTCTTGAAATTTAGCATCTTTTTTTTTTTTTTTTGGGGGGGGGGATTTACTTGAATTTCTTGTATTATTTCAATGAAAGTTGATTTACAGAATCAGTGCTTGGGACATAGATAAGATATTTTGTTTTGGGTAAAATTTTATACAAAATGAGGGATGTATAGATTAATTGAAATGGGATGGAGAAGAGAAGATAAAAAAAGTTAAAGCAGATTTTAAAATCTTTAATATTTTGCTCATTTTCTAAAAGAATATATGAATATATCTATATATATATATCTATATATATATATCTATATATATATATCTATATATATATATATTATATATATATATATATCTATATATATATCTCTATATATATAATATCTATATTTATATATCTATATGTATATATCTATATGTTATATTAATTATATATATATCTATATGTATTATTATATTATCTATTATATATCTATTTTCTATTAATATTATATTGTATATATTTTATATATTATATATATTATATAATAATATATATATATATATATATATGGATATATAATATGGATATATATATATATATATATATATATATATATATATATATATATATACAATATATATTATATATATATATATATGTATATATATATATATATATATATATTATATATATATATATATATATATATTATATATATATATATATATATATATATATATATAATATATATATGTATATGTAAATATACACACTAAATTATTTAGAAATATCTGACATAAAAGATTTTATTTTTGTAAGCTTTCCTTTAATCTATTTCCCTCAAGTAGTCTTATTTGTGTAATTGTGTTCAAGCCTTGGCTTTTGCAGCTGCTCACATGTAGCAAATATTATTTAAGTAGAGTTTCACAATTGCTTTGTATCATCATTTTGCAAAATAGATTTTATTTTAATAGCTAATAATAAATCAAAGGCAATCTGAACATTGGTATGCTTAAATTATTTGTTGATGTTATTCATAAGCCTAAAAATCTATATTCTAGAGAAAAACAATCATACAAAAGAAAGATAGTTTTTATGTTATTAAAGGGAAAACCTTGATAAAAATTAATGCAATAGATAAATACATAAAGAGATGATGAAATAAAGAAGTATGCATGAAGTATCTTGCATTGTAGGTAGTCACAATATTTAAAGAAAAAAGAAAAGATGTATGCATGCACACCAATGTGTTTTTATTAGTAGTGGACCCTTGTAAGCCCTAACAAAAGAAATGTATTTTGTAAAAGTCTACATGTTAGATAAGGAATATCTTTCACCAGTTGAGTTATGCAATTTTTCTGCCTATTATTTATTTGACAAAAGTGAAAATTTCATGATTGGAGTCAAGATTCAGTACTAGATATTTGTCATTAAACTGATATCTCCTTTTCCTTTGGTTGTCATCAAACATTTCATCACTCATGGGTTTTGAAGAGAATATATTTGTATATGTCTCACATGCAATGCAACCGGTGAAGGATAGGCTTCAGTCCATTATGGGCAAGTTGTCCCTAGTTGCAAGATTGCTGGGTGTCCATAAGTGGTTATCCGCCTTCATCTCATGGCTAATTGTGATGTTTTCCCCCTCCACTAATTATGTGTTGGCTCGTTACTTACCTCTCATGTCTCCTCTCTGCCGACTCCAGCCAGCTCCAGTTTAGATTCGGTCAACGATGAAGGTAAGTTGCGTGTGGGCTCTGGGGAAGCTTTGTGTGTGTATGTGTGTGTGTGCATAAACGTGTACATGTGTGTATGCTTGTGTGTGTGCATATGCACACTGTGTGTGTGTAAAAGTGAGAGTGAGAGTGAGTGTGGTGTGTGTATGTTGTGTATGTGTGTGTGTGTGTTTATGTGTGACTTTTTTTTTTTTGTGTGTGTGTGTGTGTGTGTGTTGTGTGTGTGTGTGTGTGTGTGTGTGTGTGTGTGGTGTGTGTGGCGTGTGTGTGTGTGTGTGTGTGTGTGTGTGACTGGGACTGGGACTGGTGTGTGTGGTTGTGTATATGTACATGGTGTGTGTGTGGGTGTGGATGGTGATTGGGTGCCTGCGTGTGTGCGTGCACACATATTTATATGTGTTTGTATGAGTCTGTGGATGTGTTGATGACTGTGCCCCTATCTCTATGCCTTTTGTAGATAAGATATGCCTCAACAGCAAATGTCATGAGCTTTTGTACTGCTAAATATTATCATTAAGCTATAAGCCTCTGCCTCATAGATTACACATTATTCCAACCCACAAGATAGATACTATCTCTTGTGCCTAACACTCACCTGTAAGAAAAAATAGCTGCTAGACTTGTTTACGTTCCCAGTCTTAGGTTGATATGTTCAAATATTCAAGGATCAGTGACAAGTTTGGCTATACATATCAAGCATAACTTTACTTCTGAATGCTAAAGTTATTGGTAATTTAAAAAAAAAAATTTAAGTGATGAAAGCACTTCTTCTTCTGGGAAATATATCCTTTAATTTGCTAGTTCTCAGTCCATGTCTTGGCACAGGGATTTTGAACACAGACCATTAAGACTAGTTCTTGCTTTTGCTTTGCCTCTGTCATATGCTTTTTAGTCTACGTGAATGATGAAATAGCAGACTTAGCGCACAGAATATCTAAAGTTGGAAAATAGTATGAAAAATCTAGTTGCAGATCGGCATTGGTATGTGTGTCTATAACAGGGAAATTAAGAAGGTGCAAAGGTAACATTAAAAAAGGGATCAGCATTTATATCAGGAGGCGCTTTTAGGTAAGGATAGGTATGGGGTCAATAATAGGTCTTGCTTGTTGTTCAAGTTGCTTGACTTGTCTGCCATCAGTGCATCTTCATGACTGCTGCTTTTCTTTCTTCTCTGTGTATTATCATTTTGCAGCCAATATTTCTTATCACCTACAGTGCTGCCAAGAGGCGTCTACCTTTCTTCCAAAGCCATAATGTCTTATTTTTCTTCTTCTGAATTTCCAACCTCCTTTCCAAAGCCCTTGAGACCTTCATCTCACCCTGTTCCTCTCTTTCTCCCTGCTACTCACAGAGAGCCTTCGTCGTCACCGCCACAGCATCCCGGGCCACCTCAGCTCATACTTGAATTTCTTGGCGGGCTTACAGCAGAAGGCTGTCACTGCCGTCACACCAGCAGTCCCCGTCTTCTCGACAGCAGTCATCTCAGGCTCCACATCAGCCCCAGACCTCAGGGATAACTTTACAGCCCTTCCCTTCTCTACTGGTGAGGATCAGAGTTTTCTGTTTTGTTCTTTGAGGGGGAAGGGAGCTGTGAATTGTCTTCTTTTCCTCAGGCTAGTTTTTAGATTTGTTAGAGATGTAAATGACTAGATTTTAAGGTATGTGTAAGGGTTTCCTCTATATTTAATCAGTCACTACAAAGGATTTTTTTTCTGTAGTAGCTTTGAAACAAAGAAAAAAAAATCCTGCAATAGATGATTTTAGACATTAAAAGTTGTATGAGAGCATCTAATGTAGCCATGTTCTGCCATCTTTATATTCTACAATTCTTTCAGTTAGAAGTTCATTCATTCTGATATTGATCATCAGATTGCATGCATTTCTCTTAGTTAGTATGGTTTACTCTCCCTTTTTTTCTGCATCCTATTTTCCTTTTCATTTTTTTCTCGTTACCCAAACTGCAGTTTATGGATTTTGATGACAGAATCAAAGTATGCTTAAATCTTTTGTAATGCGACAAAAGTACATCCAATGGCATCTGAACAAATACAAGGACACCTGTAGATGGCACCATGCTTAGTTGATGATGCTGGTTAGTTCAAAATGGATGTGTGATTTCATTGATTTGTGCATAACTGCTTTAAGCACTATTTTCGATGGCTTTACTGATATAGTTGCTGAGATTTTTTGCACTACAGTCGTATCAATATTTGGGTATTTAATTAGACATTGGTTTCCATTACAATAAAGACAATTGAATACATATGCCAAATTGAATATTCACACATTAAAGAAAAGGTTTTGTAATACCAAAATCTAAGAAGGTCAGGGAAAAGTTTGTGATGATATGATGTAACTATTAATATCACCGGCCATCAAGGGTATCCAAATTAGATCCGAATAATAGTTTCTGTATCATTCTCATCAGCTAAGTATATTGTCATCTAAGGTATCAGTACATTTATTTATAGGTCATTGGATGTACTGTAGTAAATTCTTCATTATGTCTGAATATTTATTAAGATATTACCTGCATTTCCTAATTTTTCAGCTACTATATGGTTTTAGTAATTGCTTAATTAATGCAAAATATTGCAATATGTAGCAAAGCATAGAAGAACCTTACAACAAAAATAAAGGAAAAGTGTTAAATCAAGTAAAAAAACAGTATGTATCAGGTGACTTTTTACTTTCTTAAAATAGTTTACTTTCAAATAATTTTGGGTATGGTAATGATAGGTTGACCCCTCTCCAGAATTTTGATATAGGAATGGGATTTGAATATTCTTATATCTATTGCTTTATTGAAAAGTATTTCCTTTATATCTCAGTTCCCCTTTTTCCATTTTCTTATTGAGTGGATACCACTGTTATGAATCTTGAGGTATATGTGCCTTTATGAGGATAGGATGTAAAGAGCCATTTGGTGGCTAGTAAGAGAACACAAAAATCACTTGAGTTGGTAAACATAGAAGTAATTCAAAGGAAAATGAGAATAATCACTTACCATTATAAACACACACACACACCCCACTAAACACACACACACACAACACACACACACACACACAACACACACACACACACACACACACACACACACACATATATATAATATATATATATATATATATATATAATATATATATAATAATATTATATATATATATACATATATATATAATATATATATATATATATATATATATATATATACATATACATATATATATATATATATATATANGAGAGAGAGAGAGAGAGAGAGAGAGAGACAGAGAGAGAGAGACAGAGAGAGAGAGACAGAGAGAGAGAGACAGAGAGAGAGAGAGAGAGAGAGAGAGAGAGAGAGAGAGAGAGGTGCTTCTGGGCTGTCCTTTGTTTCTGTGCGGAAAGTTCGAGAACTCGCCAGGGATTGGACTTTAAGAGAAGGTTCAGTTTCGCGGATTTGCGTTCGAGAAAATGGCTTTGATAATAGCAGTTATGTATTTGTGTAATGTAAATGCACCTAAACCTCTCTAACTCTATCTCTATCTTTCTCATACACACACACACACACATATACATGCGTGTGTGTGTGTGTGAATATATGTGTGTGTGTGTGTGTATGTGTGTGTGTGTGTGAATATATGTGTGTGTGTGTATGTGTGTGTGTGTATGTACATATATGTACACACATATATATATACA